GAGCGTCTGCAGCCCCAGCGAGTGGCGGGCCAGGCGCATCACGTAGAGGATGCGCAGCGCTCGCAGCACGCGCAGCACCAGGCCCACCTTCTCCAGGTAGGAGCCGCTGCCCAGCCTCTCGCCGTCCTCCTGGGGCTCGTCCGACACTGCGAGCGACACGTAGTACGGAGAGATGGCCAGGATGTCGATGATGTTCAGGGGCCCTTGGAAGAACTGGCACTTGTTCTGGGCCTGGACAAAGCGCAAGCAGAACTCCAGGGAAAACCAGGCCACGCAGATGGTCTCCACCACGAAAATGTAGTAGCACTTGTGAGAGCATTCACCCTGGGGAGGGGCGACAACGGAAAGGAGCGTGGGGACGGGCACGCCACCGGGCTGGATGGGAGGGGCTTCTGTCCATGCCCACCAAGACCTCCTTTTACACAGCTCCCGGTTGTGGGTGGGCACAAGGAGGTCAGCGAGAGCGAGCCCACCCCTCCCGGCCTCCCTTGCAGCTACGCATGGGCAAATAACCCAGTCCTCACCTGCGGGCTGGAACAGAAGTGACTCCAGCTCTGGGGGAGGGAGCCTGTCGGCGTGAGCTCCGGAACATTCGTTCCTCGTCCGTGAGCCGGCCGGCACAGGTAAGCCTGTAACCCAGCTCGGAAGGGCAGATGGACCAGTGCTCCGGGGAGGGGAAGCATCCAGGTGGAAGAATGGGTCTTGGCCAAGAGCTGCCCACTGGCCTGGGTCCCTCACCTTTGGCCCTTCCTTGAGAGACTGCCTTGTGTAAAGCTGTTCTGTCCGGGGCCCTCGCTTTAGCAGCCAGCCTTTACCTTCACTTCCACAGAAGCACCACCTGGTATCACACACTGCTCTGGTGCTGGCATAAGCCGAGACCCACGCTGTGAGCAGGAAGTCACTTTTGGCCCAGATGGGTCACAGTGGTAAAGGGAACGCCTGTAAGTGGCAGAGTCCAGGCTGACCCCAACCCTCCCTCTCAGCCACCATACCCTGCCTTCCAGCCTCATTCAGTCTGCACTGAAGAATGCATCGAAAGCCCAGTCTGCCAGGCCCCGAGCCAGGCTCCAGGGTAGCCAGAGAAGCAGACAGTGTGTCTGGAGACCTGAAAGTGGAGCTGCGGAGAGGACTCTGAGTCCCCGGTGCAGCCCTTGGGCTGTGTGGTCACAGATCATGTGGGGTCTCTGCAGGTTCCAGCTGGGCCCTGTGTCACTCAGGCTCTGGCCTTGGCTCCAGAGTGGCTCCCCGGTCCTTCTGCCCTCCACCGAGGCTGCCACCACAGACTCCTAATCTGCATTTTAAAAAGTAAATTTGCCACAGGCGCATGTGCATGCATGCCCAAGGTCCCGAGAGGAGAAGGGATTGCAGTGTGGCCATCCCCCTGGGGGTAATTTCTCGCTTTCTGTCTCTCTGTCTTCCTGATGAGTGCATGCGCCCTGTAGCAAAAACCTCTCATAAATAAATAAACAAACAAATAAATAAATAAAAATAAATTTGCCAGAGGTAGAGAGAGACAGAGAACGAGAATGAGGGAAAGTGAGGAACACCCCATGGTGAATGGCCATGCCACAATCCCTTCTCCATTTCTCCCTCCTTCAGGATTTTGGGCACACATAGACACGTACCTAATGTGTTTTCAAGCCGCTGGGTCAGGGACTTGAACCTCGCAGTCAGCCATGTGGGATCCAGCCCCCTCAATCACCACCTCGTGGGCTGGCCCTAATGCCCACTTCAGCAAGATTCCCCAGGTGGCTCGCATGCACTCTAGCTCAGGAAGCCCTGGCCTGGCGTGGTTCTCAGCCTTGGCCGCGTGTCAGAATCACCTGAAGCAGGGAGGGTCTTCAGGAAATTCCCACCCCCCAACCCCACCCCGCCAGTCCCGAGAAAGGCTTACCTAATTGCTCTAGGTTCAAGCCTGAGAAGGAGGATTTGTCTGAAGCCCACTGATGGCCCTAAGGGCCAGGACTGAGAACTCGGCCATGAATATTACAGATGTACTAGATGAAGGAACGTATGAATGGCCGGAGTTGGTGGCCTGCATGGAAGGCGAGACGCTGACAACTGCAGTTTTCTTTGGATTAAAATGCTCTGAAGTGGAAAAAGAAATGATTTCCAGTGCCTGGGCCCACAGGAATCCTAAATTGAAACGGGCTTTATGTCTGGCCGCTGGAGAAAGAGAAGTGAGCTAGTCCGCCCCAGACAGCCCAGATGCCATCCCTGGGGCACCTGTCCGTCTGTCCAGGGCTGGAACTTTCTTCGCCGACTTCTGTCTGCTCTGCATAGGGGTGGGAGGCAGCGGAGTGCTGTGAATTGATGGAGGGCAAGAGTGTCTGTGGCCCGGTTCAAGCCCCAGCTCTCCCACTTACTCAGACCATCATGTGTCCCACATCAATCCTCCACTCTGAAGACCGCTGCGATTCAGGGAGATGATGAAGCAGCGGGGGATCCTCAGCTGGAGGCACTCCATACATGGTAGCTGCTTTAATGATGCAGGTGGTCACAGGCACTAGCCCGCCCGGTCAGTATAAGGACAGCAGTACCTTCCTCCCGTTGCTGGGTTTTACAGAAAGCCCAGGACATTCTCCACCGTGCCATAGCTGCTCAGGGCTGGCTTCAGGGTCTGGAGGCCCAGGGGCTTGGGATCCTGATTTCTCAGTTCTGCTATAAACTTGCTGTGTGACCGTACAGTGACCACTACCCTCCTCTGGGCTTCAGTTTCCAAACAAGACGTTGGAATAGAACCAGTGGTCCTCTGAGCTAACTCAGAACTCGGTACCCCAGAACCCCAAGGCTGCTTATCACAAATGCAGGTTCTTAGGCTCCCCACAAATTTGAAACCTCGGGGTGAGTGCTAGGGGGTGTGTTTTGGCGGGCTCCTCCATCCACTCTGAGGCACCAGAAGATTTCCAGACTCTGTAGATTCTCCCTGTAAGAGTTCTTTCTTCCCTGGCGTGCTGGGACTCTTTCAGGTTTAAGAGAGTCTCATAGTTTGGAAATAACTTTCTCGAACCAGGGACCCTACAGCCTGGGAGGGTGACCCCAGAAGCCCAGAAGTTTCTCCTGCTGCCACTGGTGCTGCGTTTGGACATGCAGCCCATGCTCCACCGCTCCTCCCTCCCAGCCTGGGCGGGCCGCCCCGCACTGCAGCAGGCCCACGCTGCTGTCACTCCACCTGCAGCGCTGCTCTGCATCCTTAACCAACTCCCTGGAGCAACGGCTGCACCTGCCGCCTGCCCCGGGCAGTGGGGCTCCACGGGGCCTGCGCTGTGGGAGTGATTCTCAGCCCAGCCAACGTAGAAAGAAGGAAGGAAGGGAGGGAGGAAGAGAAAAGAAGGAAAGAAAAACCTTACTCTTTCTCTCTGAGAAGTGTCTGCTCATATTTTGTAAGGAGGGTGCACAGACCATCCTGGGTTTGCACACCTAGAAAGTCCCAGGTCCTGGGAATGCCCTTGGGCAAATTGGGGTGGTTGGGTGCCAGCAGGGGGTGTGGCTGACTGCAGTTCAAGTCCTGGACCTGGAGGCTTGAAAATCTTGCTGGATGCATGGCGTGTGTGTGTGCCCAAAATCCTAGGAGGAGAACGGAGGAGAGGGGATTGCAGCATGGTCATCCTCTCGGGGGTTGATTTCTCACTTTCCCTCTCATTCAATCTTTCTCTCTTTTTCTCTCTGTCTCTTTCTGGTGAGCACATGTGCCCTATGGCAAACACTTCAAAACAAAACAACTGGGATTATTGGTCACCTTCTTCATGGGCTCGCCACCGTGGGAGTGAGGTGAGCTCCGGCTCCCTGCAATGAACAGGGACATGATTCTGCCCGGAGATGGTGGAGTGGGAGCCCACGCCGGCCGTTGCTGTGGGCGGGGAAAGGCCAAGCCCAGACATGACCAGTCCACACTGCACGGAACTCCTCTGTGTGGAGGACGGCCTGACCGTGAAGGGCCCCAGGAGCGCCCCCGGGGTAATGGGACTATGGTGTGTGGGCAGGAGCGAGTCACGCAGGCTGCCAGTGTGACCATAAGCTGAGATCTGGCATAACGAGTACATGTGCACAATTTTTATGTTGCCGGTGGGTGCAGTCACTCATCGGAGAGGGAGGGAAAGCGAGAAGGTGGCCCCCGTGGGGGCAGTCACGCCACAATCCCTTCTCCCGTCTCCTTTCAGGATTTGGGGCATGTGCACATGCACACCCAGCGTGTTTTTCAAGCCGCCGGGCCCAGGAATTGATCCCGCAGTTGGCCATGTGGGATCCAGCTGCCTTAACCCCACGCCACTGGCTGGCTCTCAATGTATGTGAATTTTACCTGTGAAACTGGAAAAATGAATAGTAATAAGTGCTGCTAATCAGTGATTCGGGGTGGAAGGGAAACCAGATGGTGGGACACCACCGCCAGCCACCGCCGAGTCACGGCGTGTCACTGTTTACTTTGTGAGTGTCTGGGACTTCCCAGAGTGAGAGGCTTAAAGCAAAAACCTTAAAAATCGAAATCACAGTGAGATTCTACTTTAACCCCACCAGGACGCTTAGAGTTATAAAGACGACCATAGTGCTGGCCGGCCTGGGGAAGTCGGAGGCGTCAGGCATGGCCGGTGTGGGTTGCTGCCAGCGTGGCCAGTTTGGGAAACGGCTGGCAGGTCCTCAGACGACTAACCAGAGTTGGCGTATGATCTAGCAACTCCACTCCTGGGCATACGCCTGAGAGAAACGAACACGCGAGCCCACAAACACTTGCACGTAAAATGGCTGCATCAGCGTTATCATCCTAGCCCAAAGCAGAGACAGCGAAGTGTCCATTCACTGAAGACCGGATACAGCAATGCCGTCTATCTGCACAGTGGAATATTACTCAGCCGTAAACAGGAGCGAAGTACCGGTGGATGCTGAACGTGGGTGACTCAGGAGAACGCAAAGTAAAGTGTCAGCAGCCAGTCACAAGACCGCACACCGAATGACCCTGTTTGTAAGAAATATCCAGAAAGAGCAACTCTACAGAGGGTGGTTGTGGGGGCTGGGACAGGGGAGGCTCGGGCGCAAGAGAAGATAGTGGTGACACTGCACAATGCCCCGAATATACTAGAAGCCTCTGAGAGCATGTGTGTGATTATATCTTTATAAACAAGAACGCCAGGTCAGAGTCGGAGCCCGCCCGGTCAGGCTGGGTGGGGCGGTGGGGGCCCTTCAGCCCCGCCGTCTTTCCAGCAGCATCAGAGGGCCTTGCAGGGCGCTGCCCAGGAGAGAGGCAAGCAGGCCCCTCCGTGGGCAAAGACACTGCCCAGGGCAGAGGCAAGCAGGCCTCTCGGCGGGCAAAGACACTGCCCAGGGCAGAA